CGTCGCTGTTAGCACCCAGCACGAGTTCTCTCCGGAGGGTAAGCGCTTTGTGGTGGAGAATGCTAGTTGATGAGCTCGGGCCTTTCGAATGTCCATGTATCTTTGGGACCTGTCGGCTGTGGCAGTCTCCCTTCCTAGCCATGGAAGAGTATATGCTTGTTTATTGGCAAAGCTGTAACCATTTAATTGGTATCAGATTCTGACTGGCACAAGTAACATTCTTAGCTGTTAACTGGATGTGTTTTGAGTGGCTAATGGACAGACTTTTAACTGTAATTGAAATATTTCTAGGGTGCAGAACTAACCCACGGACGGAGGAGAGAAGATACGGTACGTTTTATTTTTCTTTTCTGAGTTATGTAACTGCATTAGCTGTGAAGTCAGTTGGCTGAGATATAACTAAGTTGTAATTGTTGGGGTGTTTTTTTGTTTGTTTTTTTCCCTCACAGATCCCAAGAAAGCCCAAGTGAAGAGTCTTAAGCAACTTGGATGAAATTTTATTTTAGATCTGAACTTCCTGGACTTGGATGTTAGTGATGATGGCTCAGGACATTTCAAAGCCGCAGTTTATTTAATTGGTTTTAAATGTCATTTTAAGTGAGTACTTTAGAGAGTTCAAGCAGACAATAAAATATATGCTTCTTGTTAAAATTGAATAAAAGACGATTTCATTTGTATAACCAGTGTCCTTTGCATATTTAAGTAGTCGGAGATAATGACTCCTCTTATCTCCTGGTAAGAGCATGTGGAATTAGTGTTTATATTGACTATTTCCAGCGGGCAGTACAACTCGGCTCTACTTGTATAAATGTTGAATGCCTAGCACTGGTTTATAAGGTCCACCTGTAGAGTATTAATGTTTTTTCCAAACCCTTGGGTAACACTGTATATACCTCCAGGGTATGGACTCAAGGAAAATCTTAATACTGTTATGCCTGACAATTTTTGCAAGATACATAAAACACTTTTAGATAACACCAGTATACATTGCAGGGCTACAATTTTGACACTGGTGGAGATGATAGTGTATTTAGAATAATGGCTTATAGAAGATTGTTCACAAATAATTGGGGGATTACACTTTATAAAGTACACCTTACATAATCACAAATTTTAATATTTTGTTGCTCTTGAGTTTAAAGGTAAACACCAAGGGGAAAGACTGCAGACAGCCAACAGCTAAACCATTTGTACATTACTGTAAAATCTTACCTGCCTCCTTGCACTGTAAGTGCAGGTGGGGGATTCATCGGGAAACTCGGTTACCAGAAGGTGGCACTCTAACATGTTCCAAAAGAGTGGTGTGACTGGGAGACTTACCTGGTTACTTAGATAAAATCTGAATAGTAGTGCTCCCACCTCCCTATCAAATATTGTAGAGCTAAACAAGGGTAAAATTCACTGCCATTAAGTTGATCCTCTGACTCATAGTGACCATATAGGGCAGTATTTCCAGACATTCTTTGTAGGAATAAAAAGTTCCCAACTGATGGTTTCAAACTGCTAGCCTTGCAATTTGTGGCCCAGCATGTAGCCAGTATGCCATCAGGGCAGGAGGTATTTTGGAACAAAATTCACTATCTAAAGTAAAAAATCTGCAACCCCGTGGACTGGGCAGTTTGCAAAACACAGCTTCATCTTTCAGAAAAGCTGGTTGCTGCTAACCCTGACAGCTCAAGTGTAACCCCCCATACCATCAGGGGCCTAGTTTGAGAGTCTGTTAAAATCCTTGGTTATAACTGATTCTCTACTGTTTACATCCAAACCAGGAGGAACAGTTATATCAAAAATTCTCGAAAAGAAAAAAATAAAAAGGGACAAAAAAAGCCCAAAAAAACTTTAAAAATATAATATAAAAAAAAACACAAAAAATCTTCACATAAAAAAGTTACAGTACATTTTTTCCCTTAGAACTTAGACCGTGTTGGGTACATAACATGGACATATCTACATACCAGATCACTTGGGAATGTATTGTGATGGGCAAATGTATTTGACTCAATGATCTTATTTCAGTCTAGAATTGGGGAATTTAAACGTTTGTCCCTCCATTTACTCATAACAAAATACGAAGATTTCCTGAAGCCTTTTGAGAAACTGAGTTTACAACAATACATACATTGAAAATAATGGCATTCTTATTTTGAGTGCAGTAAAGCATATTTTATCATGACAGATGTCTCTTAGTCCATACACATTGATTGGATTTTAGGAAATTAACAAGTATAAAAGGCTTGATGTAAAATCTGGGGAATGAAACGAAAGAATGTAGTGACACTTGAGTAGCCAAGTGGTAATTAAGGATCGTATTACACTGAGGTATCTATAACCAGAATGTTCACATCACAACTCTTCAAAAGCAGCGAGGGGTACACGAGCCTGAAACCCAACGTTTTTCACACAACAGCAGAAACATCAAGATCAGTCCCCCGTTGTCACCTTGGGCTCAGCAACAGTCGGAGCGATGGAGAATTTTTCCATCTTGTTCTTCAAATATTTTTTCTTGCCATTTCCATGAACAGTTATATTTTGGTGACACTTTTTATCCAAGGAACAAAGGCTGAGACCTTGGTGTAAACACCAGGAGAATCCTTGACTCCACATCCATAACCCCAGGAGGTCACCCCAAAAACCACCCAGCTCTCTCCAGGTCGTTCACACATAAGTGGTCCTCCGCTGTCTCCCTGGCAGCTGTCCACAAGTCCGTGTTCCCGGATGTTTCCAGCGCACAGCATCCGCCCTGTGAACCGACCCCTGTAGCGTTCTTCGCAAAGCCTCTTGGGAAGCAGTGGGATGGCTGCTTGCTGCAGAGTTCTTGAATAGGCTCGTCCTACCCACAGCAAGTGCCTGAATTAGTCAATGAGATCCCAGCCGACATGTCTACTGAAAAGAGCTACACTTAAACAGTTAAAGGTAGGGAGGCATAGGGCAAGAATCCCTATTGGGGCATAATTTAAAAGGCAAGCCTACAGCTATTGTATGGATTCTGCCTCCCATGGAGTAGAACTGCCCTCTGGGTTTCCCAGACAGACTCATCTTTCTCCCTTGAAGTGGCTGGTGGATTCAAACAGCTGACTTTGCACTTAGCACTCAGCTCACCACCCACTAGGCCAACAGGGTGCACGTCTAACAAACCATTTAAAGATTTACCATCCATTGCACACTCAAAGGGGTGGATAATCCCTAACAGCAAAATACCTAGACTTCCTATTTTGAATTATTTACATTACCTGTGTCACCCCATCCTGTTATATAACAGTTGGGAGCCGTTTTCTGTGGCCGCTCCCTTTTGAGTGGTAAACAAGCTGGCAAAACGTGGCTACTGAATCTGGCACATTGTTCTTCTTGTCCTTGTAATCTAACCAGGGCAATGTCATAGTCATTGCTATCGGGTCGGTATTCCCGGTGGATCACAATCTGCTGCACCCCAATTTCCTCTTCATACTCCTCAGGCACCAGGGTATGATAATCCCCGACCCGGACAGCATAGTTCCTCGTGCTATTCCCATACCTGAGAGGCAGAGAAAGCAAATGAAGGGTTGATTTCAAATCACTGGAAAATGGTGACTATCAGCAGAAGTTCATAGACATGCTGTGAATCTGTTCAAATCATCAATTCCTTTTGTATACGTAGCCTTCCATTTGCCCCCCTGGCCCCTGGCACTTTACCTGAAAACCCACTGTCCTGACCGTTTTCACGATTTAGTCCAACATTCTTTTCTACCCTTAATCTAATTTCTGAGAAGAAACGAATATGGAAGATGAGTGGGAAAGAAAGGAGCATCGTTAGTTTCTCATTTCCCCACCAAAAGGAACAAATTATAAAGGACAAGCTTACTGTCTGCATTTGCTATCTTTATTTCTTTGTCAATTCCACGACTGTTAGTTTAGTGTGAAGCGGTGTAAGGACAGAAACCATGTCTGGTCTAGTTTATATCCCTCTCATGTTTAGCACAATTACTTCCCTTTGCTGAACTTTGTATTCATTATATTCCCTAATTTCCTAAATCTTTGTTCACGTGTTACTTCTGTGGAGCCTAGTTTGATACTCCCTTAAATAATCTCAACTCCAACCTTCCAAGTCTCCCGAGCTCCAACACTCCCAACCCCTATTAAACTGCCTTATTTTCCCTTTGTTTCTTAGCATTTATAACTTTCTAACAAACTATCTGGTTTACTAATTTCTATGTTTAATGTTCTCTGTCTACCGCCTCTGAATGGCTGGCACACAAGGGCACAGATTTTTATTCTGTTTAAAAGTGTATTTTCAGCACCTAGAATAGGTGTCTGTCCATCTCATTGACAATCTTTTTCACTGACCCTCTGCTTTACAATGCATGATGTTCTTTGCCAGGGCCTGGTCTCTCCTGATAACATGTCTAAACTCCTGGACAACTGTAATAATCTACTAAATGGCCTCTTTGCTTCCATTTTTACCTTTATTCCATCCTTTGCACTGCAGCCAGAGTGGTATTTCTGTCTGCTACCTTAACGACTCAAAGGCGTCTACAGAACAAAGTTCGGATTCCTTAAGCGATAAACAAGCCCGGTCTGTGCCCGTGTCCGTTAAACTGCTTTAAGTTATGCCTCACACGTGTCTTTATTTCCACTCTCATCCCTTTTTCCTCTCTGATATGTATCGTAGAGACCGCTCTTATCTTTCAAGTCCTAAGTCAAGGATCAGGAAGCCCTTACAGACCCCTCACCTCGCCTGCATTCCTGTGATCATTCCCAAAGTGCCAAAGCAAATCTAACACTCTAGGGCTTAACTTGTGAGGTAGCAGTTCTCCCGAATTAAACATGACATGAGGGCCAGGGCCAATGGTATCCTCAGCACCAAACAAAGTGCTTGCCCCAGAAAACTCCATCAGTGTATGCTCAGTGACTTCTTCTGAAGACATCCATATAGACCTGCACACTCGGCTCTCACCTCTAACTTCAGAAACCAAAGGAAAGATGATCAATTACCGTACTGTAATAGAACCATTACAAGTCTTTGTTTCAGGAAGAAAAACAAAAACCTTTCCCCACAATGATTCAATGTTCTTTTCAATGTTGAGTGTCCTTCAGAATTATCTGTTCTATTTTTTAAATGCAAATGTCCAGCCCAAATCATCTAAGAGTATAAATGAATACAGTTGGGGTAGGGACACAGGTAATTCAAATTGTCAGGCTTAAGAACCATTGTTCCCCAACTGCTAAAGGCATGGACATAAGTATTACCCCTGCACTCCTAGAATTTCACCAGGTGAGGTAAGCATCTTAGCAGCTACCATCAAAATGCAACAAAAAAAAAAGCATACACATTCTCCATGTACACTGTTCTATGTTTCAGTGTGTTTTTAAATCCAGGCAATTTATTCATAGGCTCACGAATCAGGAGGTAACACAGGCAGCTCCTTGGTTCCTGTGCCTTTGTAGGGTAGTTGGAACAGGTACATAGAATTCTTATTTAACCTGACTTCAGTGCAAGAAAAGCCTCATTTCTTTTCAGTAAGCCACCAAGGCAGCAAGGGAAAGTGGGCTGGCTCAAGGTTTCAAAGTTAGGGTAAATTTACATAACATTAAAGGGCAAGTGTGTATTATTCTTATTTCTGAATGTAACTGGAACTGCCTAAATTGGCTTCAAAATTTAAAAAAATGAATAAAGTGTTTACATAACAAGAAGAACCATTGTTGCCAAAATGCAGTCACTGATTAGTACCGATGCTTTTAAGGAGGAGCTATGGTGGTGTAGCAGGTTCTTTGTTGGGCTGTAAACTGCAAGGTCAGCAGTTTGAAACCACCAGCTGCTCTGAGGGAGAAAAATGATGCCTTCTACTCACGTAAAGGGTCACGGACACATGATTGAAGGTAATGAATGGATTGACTCAACTTGGGCCATGATTACCACACTCCTGTAACTTAGATTGTTTTTAGAATAGATTTGGAGCTTGAAGAGCATGAGACTGGGCTCATTGTCCAACCAAATATTTGTCTTCTAGTGTCACCTCTTCCAGTGGGTGTGACTAAACTTCAGAAATAACACGGACTGAGGTTCCTAAAATGCCAACTTTGAAAGCATTTATTATGGTGCCAGGCTTCTCAAGGGGGTTTCCACACCATACACGCAAACCTTTGGGGCTGAGCATTTGTTATTTTGATAGACTTTGTTTATCATAGTCAAAGCTGCTTCTAAAACAAACACTTCTCATTTTGGCTGACACATCATTCAGATGTTTCCTTTGCTGAAATGCCCTAACTCCCCCTCAAAAGCAGGTTGAAATTCCCACACAAGTTTAAATATGAGGGAATCTAAGACACGTAGCTCAATACAAGCCAGCATGCCTGATTCTCTGAGACTCATAAAATAAACAGTAACAAACATGTACTAGAAATAAAAATGGAAGAGTTAACAATTCAAGCTGCAGGATCATATTCTTTATTGTCTTCTCTCCATGGATTCATCGCTACAAGAAAACATTTTACATCAGTCCGTGCACATCTGCAACTGCTAAGCTCTGTTTTTCTCACTGTCTGGAGGAAATTAAAAAGGTGGTTAACTGAAGTGCAATTGGTGGAAATGGTTCCAATTGCCTAGAGAGAAGTAGCCCTCCCTGTAGAACCTTCCTCTATGCCTCACATATGTGAGTGCTCAGGAAATGGTTATCGTATTGTGTACATCCACGGAGATCATGTTCTTTGGGTCTTGTCAGCTCCAACCTCCACTGTGTCACGATAGAATAGATGTGAGGTAAGAACACACGTCTCATTCCTCCGGAGTTCATCTTCTGAATTACCAAGATCTAGACATTTCTAACCATTTCCAGCTGCTATGGCGTTTCTGGGCAAAAAGTCAAAAAGATAAAATCAAGCAAACCTACATACTTTGGAGAACTCAAGTTTGGGGCAGAATAACAGGAATAGGAGAGGCCATGCTTTTTCAGGTAATACTGCCCTCCAAAGACTGCTTGTTTTCAGGGACTTTGTTTAGTCTGCAAGGTTTTTTCCCTGTCAAGTATATTGCTGCACTTCTCTAGATAGATGACTGGGACATAGTGCTTAAAGTCCTCACAAGGAGCCCTGCTGGGATAGTGGGCTATGCTTTGGGCTGCTCACTGCAAGGTCGTAATTGGAACCACCAGCTGGTCTGAGGGAGAAAGCTGAGGCTTTCTGCTCTGTCACCGAGGCAGTTCTCTGACCTACAGTATTACTGTGAGTTGGCATCAACTTGGTGGCAGTCAGCAGTGCGTTTTGAGAGTTTTTAGTTGTCAGAATAGCAAGCAACAGAAGCAAGCTATATTGTGTAAGATGAACAACAAGAACCGTTATCCAAGCTTCCTCTTGAACCTGCCAGTTGTTGTTGTTCGAAGATGCCATCAAGGCCGTTTCGACTCCTAGTGACCTTATGTGCAGTCGGATGAAACAGTGCCCAGTCCTGAGTCATCCTCGCATTCGTTGCTCAGCTCAGCTATTCGGACTTTGCATTCCAAAGTCCGCATTGCATTAATCCTAAGGAAAAATGTGAAGAATAAAAGCTATCAACAGCCTTTAACCAGTGATTCCTACCGGATGCCTCAAAATATACAAAAACTGTAAGGCACTCAGGAAGTTAAAAGCTAGATGACTTCTAATAAAGTGCTTGGACTGTGAAAAGAGACTACTAACAGGAGGTGAACCGAGACTAGTGGTGCTGAGGAACTGCATTCTGAGCGCATTCTCCCCAAGCCACCACTCCTAGGGTTTTCCGACTTGAAAAGGATATAAATCGTGGCTATTCTGGCAGTAAGTTTGTGATTTTTAAATTTATTTATTTATTTTGGTGACTCTATGAAGAACATAAACATAAAGGCTCTCATTACATACAATAAAATAACCTTCATGGTAGTAATCATCTGTGCCTTATTCAGAAACAGCATGCCTCTGTTGACAGATGATGGGTCTTGGCTACCTAGACCAGATGTGTTGGCCAGGAATTGATCCTGGGTCCCCGACATGGAAGGTAAAGTGGTCTCCCCTGTGATTTCCAGAGGAGGGGGCTCTTAAGCAATTAACAATTAGACAAGCTAAAACTGTAACCTTTATTCTAATGGCCAAATCCAAATGTCTATCTATCAGACTCTACCAAGATCTTTGTCACCATCTCTCTCGTCCTTACATTTTACATCTGTTATTTCAGTTATTACAGTAGGCTTACAACTGGTCTCCCTCTAATACCTATCCTAGATTGTCTTACTCTTTTTGTGATACTGGACAAACACAAGTTACTCCAGAAAAAAATGGCACATAGGCATACGTATAAAATGTAATTTCTGTTCATTCACCGACTGCACTGCAGGAAATTATTTAACATGACTCTTCTAGCCATAGCTTTTGTAGCTTCCACCAAATGACTTTTTCCCCGATCGGTCTGGGTAAGAAAAGGTGGGGGAGGACACTGGAAGAAATTATAATTCTGCTTGGAATGAAGGTTACCAGGGTAAATTGTGATTGACACCTGGCTGGGTATAAAAGGAGCCTTCTCAGACACAG